CGTAGATTGAACACTGTGACGCAAAGTATCTCGTAGATTCAACACTGTGACGCAATGTATCTCGTAGATTCAACACTGTGACGCAATGTATCTCGTAGAATCAACACTGTGACGCAATGTATCTCGTAGATTGAACACTGTGACGCAACGTATCTCGTAGATTGAACACTGTGACGTAATGTATCTCGCAGATTGAACACTGTGACGCAATGTATCTCGTAGATTGAACACTGTGACGCAATGTATCTCGTGGATTGAACACTGACGCAATGTTTCTCGTAAATTGAACACTGTGACGCAATGTACCTCGTAGATTGAACACTGTGACGCAATGTATCTCGTAGATTGAACACTGTGACGTAATGTATTTCGTAGATTGAACACTGTGACGCAATGTATCTCGTAGATTGAACACTGACGCAATGTATCTCGTAGATTGAACACTGTGACGCAATGTATCTCGTAGATTGAACACTGTGACGTAATGTATCTCGTAGATTGAACACTGTGACGCAATGTATCTCGTAGATTGAACACTGTGACGCAATGTATTTCGTAGATTGAACACTGACGCAATGTTTCTCGTAAATTGAACACTGTGATGCAATGTATCTCGTAGATTGAACACTGTGACACAATGTATCTCGTAAATTGAACACTGTGACGCAATGTATCTGGTTGATTGAACACTGTGACCTAATGTATCTCGTAGATTGAACACTGTGACACAATGTATCTCGTAAATTGAACACTGTGGCGCAATGTATCTCGTAGATTGAACACTGTGACGCAATGTATTTCGTAGATTGAACACTGACGCAATGTATCTCCTAGATTGAACACTGTGACGCAATGTATCTCGTTGATTGAACAGTATGACGCAATGTATCTCGTTGATTGAACAGTGTGACGCAATGTATCTCGTAGATTGAACACTGACGCAATGTATCTCGTAGATTGCAATACGTGTATACAGTTATCAATCCAACCCGTGTTAACTGAGGGTGATATGATCGCCTTGTTCCGCAGAACAGATCATTTCTGTCAAACAGATAATAACTGAATAAACAAATATAACCCACGTTAAAGGTCATACAAAACTCAACTCACGTCGTTTCCTAGCAACAAAGTTGTTTGTTTCATTGTGAGAACAGCTTTAAAGTTCTTTGACTTTTGAGAATAGTTACTGTGACAAGTCCATGCCAAACGTTTTCCCAATAGCCGTACCAATTATGAGCCTTAAGTATTAAAGCACACAAAAGTTAACATCACCCCCCTCTCCTCGCCGCGTGTTTTAACATGTTGAAGCCCGGTTGACGCATTTTCCCCGTTTTATCCACTTAAGACTTAGCCGTACGCCTAGAGATTAAAGAGAACAATTTAAGGAATATTCTTACTACACTGATATCTGTTTAATTCTTCGTTCTTTTTTTTTATTTTCAAGAAATATTAAATAAATTTTAATAGAAATTATTTGAAAAGTTATGTAAGGAAATAAGAAAATAATGTATCTATTATATCTATATCTATTGATTAGGCCATCAAAAAGAATATGAGAATAGAATGCAAATGCCACGGACTATCTGGGACATGCACAGTAAAGACCTGCTGGCAGAAGATGCCAGTATTTAGATTCGTTGGAAATAGACTGAAAGAGAAATTCAATAGAGCAACCGAAGTAATAGGTGGTAACGATGGCAACGAGTTACTACCAGAGGGCGAGACAATAAAACCGCCGACGGACGAGGATCTGGTCTACACGGCAAAGTCGCCAGATTTCTGTGAACCGAACAGAAGAGTTGGGTCTCTTGGTACAGGGGGTAGAAACTGTAATAACACGTCGTTGGATGTTGGTGGTTGTGATCAACTGTGTTGTGGCCGTGGTTACAAAGAGGAGACAATTACGGTAACCGAAAACTGCAAGTGTCGCTTCCATTGGTGTTGTGTGGTCAACTGTGACACGTGCACAACTAAAAAAACTATTCATAAATGTAACGGATACCGTTCGTAAGGACAAGTTACGTTGATTGTGAACATTACCGTCCGTCACTTATAGAGAATGATCATCGGACTAGATAATTTTGGAATGCATGTTTTTTATATGAACGATGACATTTGCCTTCAATCACTTCCTGGATATTCTGTGTCGTTTCGCAACAATGCGACACCAGCTCCTTGATCGTTTTGACAATATTGTGACGTCACTTCCTGAATATTTTGGATGTCTGCGCAACATTATGACGTAATATTCTAAATATTTCGGATCATTTTTGCAGCATTGTGACAAGTCTAATATCAAGCAATACATCGAAAGCAAAGAAAACATACTGACACATGTGGCCAGACCAGATACTCTTATTTTCCAGCGGATATTTTGTGTGCATACAATGTTTTATAACAGGACTGAGCACGGGTAGGAACAACAATGAATTGTGCATCCTGGCATGTCGTAAGCAAAATGTGTTCTTTGTTACCAGCAATATTTACGGGACTTCTTTTGAATCTGCATCCAAAATGAGTACATATTCTTTCACGAATTATTCTGAAAACGAAGCATTGGGACAGCAGCCATGTCAGTTGTATTATTTTGAGAGAGTCCTAAAAACCTAATTATATATCTATTCAATGGTGTCTGCGTGACGGATGTGAATCGTCAGAGCCCATTTGCACTAGAATAATCAAACCATGATGGCGGGCGTCAAAACAATGACGGTTTGGTGGGAGCGGCGCAATGCATTTTGCAGTAGTGTTACTATGACTGGGCTCACAAAGCTAGGCAAAGACTTCGCAAAATTATACCACAAGGAGGAAGATATTCCTGTATTGCACAACGTTGCTCAATTTATTTTTTTAATTAAAACAGTTTATAGTTGTATAAATATGCATAATATGCAAATATTTGATAGCGATATGTATATTACATGAGTTTCCATGCATTTCAGACTACCAAACCGGTAGCAAATCAAATATTAAAAAGACCAACGGGACATGAACATAATATAACACGACTTGTAAATTGAAATTGCCAATTGCCTAGAACCAAAGCATTAGTGTATTTTATATAAACTGTTAATATCAGAGATTTTTAAGACTATATATTAGACAATCGCAAAAGGCTAGTTGCTGAAAAGGTAACTGTAGGTAACTAATGTTTGCTATTGGTCGAATTTTGAATGTTAACGTTGCATTGGATGGTAGGATACATAGTTATTACAAGGGTACTGTTTCGTGCCACGAGTTGCTGATAAACAGCGACAGTTTCAAAAATTAATGTGAGAAATTTCACACTATGTGACACTAAACATGGGTCACTGTAGTGGCCATATTATGGAAATAATGGTTTAACGATTAGATTTTATGGGTGAGGAAAAGATAGAAAATTATTTTTTTCTTTACCAATATTTAGTACGAGATATGTATTTCCACGATGAAGCTGGTGTAAACAAATTGTTGGTTTTTTCTCTAGATTTTGGTTTTTATTTTATTTATATAGTTTTTGCTCTATCGTTGCAACGCATTTTATCTTTCTAAGGGCCAACTGTGATATGTCAGTAGCACTAACATGGCCGCCATTCGTCCATCTTGGATTAGATCATTTTAGCATCTTAGTTAGTAACTATACGTAAATGCATTCTGTGGTTAATCGTTAAATTCAGATATATCTTTGGTACGTCCATCCCACTGTTCCAACCCATGTTTACAGTACTCCCTGTGCTTCACTAATGACGAGAATCATTATGAAGATCGATAGGTCAAAGTTTAAAGGTCGATTTAAAAATGGTTTCCGTCTGATTTCAGCATTTTTGAAGTTGTATATTTTACTATATCATTATTTATTTCAAGAAAATAATACCATTTTCGCTTTGATAAGGTTTATTATGAGACTGGACAATGTGGTTTTGTATGCGCGTGTCAGGCAGATATCGTTCGAACTGAACATTGTACGAGTGAATACACACCAAACAAACATACATCCGGTGTACGTGAAAAACAGTAGCAACATGGTTTACACCGACCCCTGGTGTTCAGTCGACCCGTTGTATTAGGTTGCCGTGTTGTGGTTTGCTGCGTTGTAGAGGAGTCAAAACATGACACTCTACATACATCCATATGGACTGAACGAAAAAATTGCATACAAAGTTGGCTATTGCGGTAACAAGATCGAAACAAAGTGCAAAAGGTTCGTCTAGTTTTTAAAAGAGGCGCTGTCAGCCACCCCACACGGCAACCTAGGGAGGAGGGACACGACATGTTTTTTTGGAAAGAGTCACTTTTTTGTATTTATTTTTTTCAAATATAAATCCGTATTCAATATTAAAATATTTTTTTTTTCAAATTTAATTTCATTTTTAAAAATAAAAATAAAAGTAAGATTTCAAATGTCACGGTGAATTAATTTAAAAGTAAATGAAGTAAGTTTAACAATCTCATTTAATTGGTAATTTTCATTTTGACAATTTCAAAACGCATGGCCGTGACCTTCCTCGGTTGCCGTAACCCCATTTTATTCATGCTATGTTAAACACACCGAGTCTTGAACACGACGAACTTTTTTTTCTGAATACACTATACACATTTATACTTAGAAAGTCTGGTGGGATTTTGAACAGAAAATATGCACAGAAAAAAAACTTAGAGGAAAAAATACAATTGTTGAATGAAGAAGAGCAAAAAATGTACAACAACGTCTTCTTGTTAAGTAAAACTAAACCCTCTGAGTTTATAATGGCCGAACGCTAATGCCTATTTTGATATCAAAGGACACGACATACACGCGCATGAGACGACATACTCGCGCATGCGTATATTATGACGTATTATTCTCGTGCTCTTTCACTCTCTAATTGGTTTGTGCGCACATCGCGTGCACTGCACTTTCATAAACAGACAATTAGTTTAGAGATTGTATATCAAAAGTTGTGCTGCAAACAAGCATGGCAATTGTAATATCTCGCAGATTGTACTCGAACATATTTAGTGACATATACTAGTACTATTTAACATTTTTTTCAGTTCTCTTGTGAACCTTGAACTGGTAGCAACCTTGTTTTGTACTGACCGGACCTGGTCTCGAAACACAGTGAGTGCTCCGGGCTATAGCTACACTGTAAACATATGTGTAACGTTGATGTGATTCAAGTATCCACTCTGGATTAAAATGTAGTACTACTACTACTTATTTTTCATCCCTCGGAAGATAATAGGATGTATATCTATTTCATACTTCCAGGTTAATGAGGTGTAAGCCCGCGGTGTAGGTGTATTCGAGATAAACATTCAATGTTGTGATTAATGTATTAAGTTGTATAATCTGCTAAATACTTCATAGTATTCTGATGGAGGTCAATGTTATCTGAAATCAACACTTTTGAGTATTATGGCAATTCGTAATCGAAGTACTCGTATATACTGGCTACTCGCATCATAATGTCAATATAACGGTATCTGTGTTGAAAGTCGGTATTTGTTTTCAAAAATATTGTTGTGCCAGGCGAATTTTCACTGATGTCTCTCTTGACTGGATGGATCCTTGATGCACGTCAGTTTTTTTTCAGATCGGATTGAAAATGGCCGACTGGCGGTCATTTTATTTCAACAAATGCAGTTCCAGTGTCATATTTCTAGGATGATGTGACCAATCACATTCAAACTTTACACTTAGATTACACATTATATCATACATAAGCATATGCACTTGTTTTATGATCCAATTCATGATGGCCGAATGGCGGCCCTTTTAGTGCTAAAAAAATCATCAAAATCAAGTATTTCTGTCATTCCGGGACTAGACCTCGTTCGTACATGGACATATTTCATTCAAACTTTGTATGTTCATTAAACGCAATGAATCCTTAATGGGCATTATTTTTTTCGGATTTAAAATGGCAGACTAGCAGTAATTTTGTTTTAAAAAATGTTGTTCCAGGCCATATCTCTGACATTGTGGTTCGACCTATCGCTTTCAATCTTTACACATACATAACACATCATACATAAGTACATGCATTTAAAGATCCAATTCATGATGGCCGTAACGGCCATTTTAGTGCTAAAACTTCATCAAAAATCAAGCATATCCACAGTTTTTGAACTTGCTCTTCAGTTGTATGAACATATTTCATTCACTTTTAGTTCATACATTCAACATGACGCACCCTCGATACATATAATTTTGTTTCTTCAAATCAGATTACTTATTTACTGTTGGCCATTTTGTTTTTACGAATATTGTCCCAGAACTATATCTTTGACATGCATTGCCGATCTCATTCAACACAAATACCCAAATATATATACGAGTGTGAGTCATAATATATGAATAAATAGTTAAGACATGAATGTCTTCTATTGGCCATTATACAACAAGCAAGAACTGTAACACTACTCTAGTGATGCCATCTACCATCATAATAAGCACGTCAACTTCAACTGAGACA